GGAAAACGGCATTTAATCGAAAAATTTATATGAAAAATATTGTTTGTTACGAGATTTTCTATAAGGTGAGCATAGTCTTAATCGGCAAAGCGGCAATCCTAGTACCAGTTCGTAGCGGAAAGCATTACCCATTAACATTTTAGGTTTGGAACTATAGCCGGCAACTCAAAAACTGATAAAATGGAATAAAATAGAAATTGGCGACTGTAAAACGGCCTTAGATTATCTGGATCGGATGGTAGGAGAGGCCTGAATGGTACCTTGTCAAGTTTTAAAGAGTTTAGGGACTCTGGAACCGTGTCCTGGTTGCTGATGGTGAAAAGATGCCAACTTCTGGGCAGGTGGGAGTAAAGCGACGAGTCCAGACCGGCGCCCCCGAGATGATCGCCCGGTATTTCCCCAGTGTCGAACCTGTTGAGCGAAATTAAATTAACTCCGGAAAGCGGCGCGCTTCTCCAAACGGCTCTCACTCTTTAACGTTGGCCTTCGTCCGGACAGTTTTGGCTTTCAGCAAACTGGGCTTGGACCTGGCGGGTATGAAAGCGGTGGATCCTTCCTTGCCGTGCAATTTTATCGCCAGTTCGGTGTGAAGGCCTAAACAGACTCGATGTAGCTCGAGAAAAAGCCCCGTTTCTATACACTCACATATGTTATTCATTGTCGACCAGTACTTCATCACATCGTCCATGCGGTGAAACTCAAACCGGATTTTCGGATAGTCCTTCTCGGCGATTTTCGTGTAGTCCTGCTTGATTGAGGTGGTGTCCCATAGGGTGGCCTTGCGGTTCATATAGAAGAACATCTTTTCCTTTTCGTGGAACCCTGAGGGGCCGAGTTGGACCAGTCCGCAATAGCATAGCAGATGGAGCTGGCTGATCATGTCGTAGAGGAACTTCCGCCGGTAGAGGATTATTGTGCGCACGCCAACCGGCAGGTCCTTTAGGGTGTAAAACCTGCAACAGTGACGTCTAACCGACTGGGGCGTCTATAGAGCTGAAATCGAACCGTTTGATTGGATGCTGCAGCAGTTCTTGCAGCTCGTGCGAGTAAAAGTTGACGGAATAGCAGCGGGTGATCAGCACTAGGGGGAAGCGCATTATCACGTCGCCTAAGAGACCCCAGCCCTTGTCCCACCCGAAATGTTTCGGCATGGGGTGAATGAAGGTTTTCCACGAAATTTCTCTGCAGTACATCGGAGGAATCGCCTCCAGTTCGGAGTCGCTTAGTCTGATCTGGAACGAAGCAATGTCTTCTTCTGCGTCTTAGTTGTTTTGACTGGCTCTACCTGATTTGCATGCAGCACATCCCTAGCAGCCGCCTTGGATAGAGGCGTCGAACTGCTCTCTTCAAAGATCAGATAATAGAACAGTTCGTGTATTAAAGCCAATCGAGCAAACTTGGGCCGGCGCCCGTAGCATCGGGCCGATGTTTTGCTGGGTTTCACTGTATCATGCGGAATGAGCCGTTGGATCTGCGTCAGGCTCTGGATAACGTCCGCTTGAGTGAATGGAGATCTGCAAAATCACTAGTTAGTTTCGGTTGGCGCAACCCTCCATCAACTCACTTGGCTTCTTTCGGTTGGGTGCCGGGTTTCTTGACCGTTTTGGGGTGGTGGCAGATCACTTTTTCCTTCAGATGCTGCAAGTTCTCCTGGATCACGTGATGGTCGAGGGGGACCCGCGGCAGGCAAAGGAACGTCTGGGTCTTTTTCACTGTGCCACTGCTAATATGGATGGTGATCGCTTTCAGGTAACCCTCAGCAGTGAGGGTGT